AAAAAAAAAAAAAAACCCTGCAATAAATATGTTAAAGACTTCAATTACTGATGGAAAAAGTATATAGTGATCTCCCAGTTTCTCATAGAAAGATCATTCAAGTAATAAAACTTGCTGCTGTGTTGGGAGTTCAATTTTGTACTCTAAAAGAGATTTAGAAGAACTAAGCCCCAGTACTTGTGAATAAGACTTTATGTGGAAATAGGGTCTTCACAAATATAATCAAGTTAAGATGAGGTCATAATGGTTAGGGTGGACCTAAATCCAATTGGTGTCCTTAGAAGAAGGCTATGTGAAGACAGAAACACAGATAAACACAGGGTAGAATATCCCATGAAGGTAGAGGCAGAGAGTGGAATGATACGCCTGCAAGCCAACACCAAGGGCTTGCTGGCAACTACCAGAAGCTAAGAGCGAGGCATATAATAGATTCTACCCTCAGAGTCTCCAGAAGGAACCAATTCTACTTTGACCTTGATTTTGGACTTCTGGCTTCCATACATGGGAGGGAATAAATTTATTTTATGTTTGTGCTACTTTGTTACAGCAGCCTTAGATAACTAATACATGGTTTTTCATCATCAGAGATTTCAGACCAAACACACCACTTCACACTTTCAGGTAAAGATGACAAATTGAACATACCCGTTATTTTTACTACCTCCTGAAACTGCAATGAAACAATAGAAACAATAGAAAACAAAGTATTTTTAAAAGGAATAAACCCACAAGGACAGGGAAAAGATAGATATGATTATAATAAAATTCTAGAAACTGAAAAGCAGAAGGACTAGTGAGAAAGGATTTAGGAGACCTGAGAAACTGAATTATAAGCCAGAATAGGCAAAGGCCAAGAAACAACCAAAGTGATACAACAAAATCCCCGAAGATTCAGGAATGCAGAATCAGGAACTCCTGGAAGTAGGGGTGGGGTGGGAGCTAACATGAGGAGAATCAATTGAAAAAATGAATTTAAGAGTAAGTCAGGTCTTTAGATTCCCTCCTCCACTCTGCATTCTAGGGACTGATCCTTTCTAACCTTGGTGGGGGTGGAGGGTTATTCTTTGAAAAGGAAGAAGCATGGGTTTTTCAGCTGAGGACCAAAGTTGTATTAAAAATAAATGGCCTGGGGCGCCTGGGTGGCTCAGTTGGTTAAGCGTCCGACTTCGGCTCGGGTCACGATCTCACGGTCCGTGAGTTCGAGCCCCGCGTCGGGCTCTGGGCTGATGGCTCAGAGCCTGGAGCCTGCTTCTGATTCTGTGTCTCCCTCTCTCTGCCCCTCCCCCGTTCATGCTCTGTCTCTCTCTGTCTCAAAAGTAAATAAAAAACATTACAAAAAAATTTTAAATAAATAAATAAATAAATAAATAAATGGCCTGAATGAACATAAAGACTGAATGCTGAGATCTCTCTCTTATCTCTCCATCCCAGAACACTCACAATCTGACTTTTTATCTACCTAGTGAGAGGCTATGAACACATACATGGAAAAATCCAGCAGAATGCACATTGAACGTTAATTAATAATTACCTTAAGGGACAAAATGACTGGAAAGTCTCATCTTACACAATATATGTATCTGTAATATTGGAATGTTTCACGATAAGCATATATTACCCTTCCTTCTACCAAAAAATTTATGAAAATCATTAAAGATCAGAGATAATAAACACAATAAAGAGAAAATAAATGCTCCCTATACTTCGCATGGAATGAAGAAGTCCATTAGGCTCAAAATACCTATGGAATTAGGTTTCTTTCCAAAAGCTAATGTGGCTCAAGTCCTCTGCTTTGAGTGATATCAACCCCGCTACCTTGGCCAGCTTATTGGATTGCCTCTGTCTCCAAATGCATGAACTAACACAACCATACACAGACCAACATCACCCTAGCCATGTAGCTAACCAAAAAGTTCTTACAAATGATGGGAATTCTGTCCAGAGTGGAGTTCATGCACAGTAACAGCAAACCAACCTATCATATCTTCCTCAAGGATGTTTACTGCTAGGTACTCAAAGAGAAGACAGGGCATTTCAGTTCAGTGAGAAAATGTCTTGTGTAGAACCTAAAGTACTATTCAGTCTCAACTGGGACTGAGGATGACTTTCATTCCAAAGTATCCTTCAATAAACTTACAGACAGACACACTCTTTTCTCTCTCTCATATACACCTACACAACTAAACAAAAAAGTGATCACTTCAAAAGTTCAAGAAAATTAATTGTTCCAGGGTGTCACTCAATGCATCGTCTTTCCCTCAGGACTGTAGGCAAAAAAAAAAAAAAAAAAAAAAAAAAAAAAAAAAAAAAAAGAATAAAAGCTAATAGAAGAGGTTTACTTTCAAACTAACTGCAAGTTAAGATTATCAAAGCATGCACCATTCATCATTTGATTTCTTTCCCCCTTTTTTTTTTTTGGCCCTTTTCCAACTATCAAAGACTGGACATGAAAAAGGAGATAAAATTCAATGTAATATAATTTTTTTGTGAGAGAAGGATAAAACCAAGAGCAAGAATGAGATTGCTTTTGAGAATTCTTAAACCAGTAAAATAATCCTCTTAACCAATCCTGGTGTCTGAGTGATCTCCAGAGTCCTGCAAATGGACCAGATTTCCAGAGCCTTGATAACAAAGGGTAACACCCCAAAATATGGACTCATTTTACACTCCACCTTCATTGGCCAAGCAGCTGCTAAAAACAAAGGCCACATATCCCGATACCTGGCAAACAAATGCACTATTGCCTCATGAATTGATTGCTTCTCTGGAGTGCCCACAAGTGTATTTGGAGAGAAACTTCGAGAGCAAGTTGAGGAGCAGCTGTCCTTCTATGAGACAGGAGAGATTCCACGAAAGAATCTGGATGTTATGAATGAGGTGATGGTTCAGGCAAAGGAAACGGCTACTGAGATGGCTAGGAAGCTGGAAAAGCAGAAGAAATGCATGAAGGAGAAGACACAGCTGGCCGTCTCTGCCCTCATGTCTTCAGAAAACAGCAGTAGTACCCCAGAGGAGTGTGAAGAGACAAATGAGAGACCCACAAAGAAGAAAAAGCAAGAGCCCAGGAGACCCTCAGAAGACCATCTGCCTCTGTCTCCAAATGCAAGAAAAAGAAATCTTTTTTCCAAGGAGGAGCTGGTTAGTAGCGATCCTGAAGAGACAGCTGGCAGTGGAAGTCTTCCCAAGAGGAAGAAATCTTTCCTCAAAGAGGAACCAGTTAGTGATGTTAAAGAGGAAGGAAATAAGAGCATCCCCAAGAAAAAGAAGAAATTCTCTTCCAAGGAGAAGCCACTCAGCAGTGGACCCAAAGAGGCTGCTGGCAGCAAGAGCAGTAGCTCCAAGAAAAAGAAAAAGCTGCAGAAGTTATCCCAGGAAGATTAGAATGGATATTTACCTGGTTAGGCACAACCCACATGACATTTCCCAACGCATCCCTTATATCCCAAAAAAAAAACAACAAATTCACAAGAATTAAAAAAAAAAAAATCCTGATAAGAGTCATTCTACTCACCTTTCCTGTATGACACATTTGTAAATCTATCACCAGATACTTATTACATAATTACTTAAGTTTTTTAACTATAGAATAACCCTGGAATAACATGATAAAAGATTATGACTAATTGAAATTTTTAAATAACCAGAAAAAATCATAACAGAACAAAAAATCAATTATTTCTTCCTCTACTTACTTGTTGTTACACAGTGAAGAGTATTTTCCTGGTGATTAGAATTTAATGCTTCCATGGAAATCACTAGCTGTCCTTCCAGCAATGCTCCATTTGATACTCCTGTTTCACACTTCCAGTGAATTATTAAATATTTCAAAATCTGAAAAGGGTACAATTCAAAGAAAACAAATCTTTAGAAATCATAGTAATAATAAATGTATATGATACAGCTGAATTAATGATTCTAATTTCCAAAAAATAATATTCTTACTTGCAAAATGTCAGATTCACACATTTAGAACAAAGTATTGTGTCTAAACAGAAGAAATAACTAGGAAAGTGACATAAGAAAGGAGGCATAAGAAATTAACACAATGCCCAACAAGACAGGAAGTGGTGACAATAAATTGCTTTATTCAAAGGGTAAGTTCATCTGGAAATAATAATTCGGAAAAATTAAGTGGGAGTTTGTTTTTCCTGTGTCTTTTTTTCTCCCCAAGTAAAAGCCAACATGAATATTATGAATAAAAGTGGCATCTGGTTATGAATCATCTTTACCTTTCATTAAATCATCATTTCTGAGGATGGGAATACTAGTTAAAGATCACTGGCTCTGGAGGCAGATGCCTGGGTTTGAATCCCTGATATGCCATGTGATTTTAGGCAAGTTACTTAACTCCTCTCTACTTCAGCTTCCTCATTTACCAAAATGAGGACAGTCTACCACTTATGGCTGCTGCTAACTGTGAACAAAATAAGAGCATAATGCTTAACACAATGCCTGGCATATACACACACACACACACGTATATATACACGTAGATATATACACCCCACACAATTTGTACATATATATGTATATAAACACATATACATATATATTCTTATGTGTATATGCATATATTTTTAATACTTATAGACATTAACTTTCATTTTTAATAAGTTCATCTTTGGTGAAGACTGCACACAATATTTTAAATTAAACAGTCTTCCAAGATGTCTAGATAAAACATTCACTCTTGATGAGACAAATTTAAAAGAAAATATACTGTAGTTAATTCCATTACTTATGAAAGTAGACTCACTTACACACTAAGGGACCATAGGGAAAATTACCACCCCTTTTCTTAAAGGCAAGATCTCAGCAAGAGAACTTGGGGATGAATATCCTAATTTGTACCATAGTTTATAACGATGGTTTCCAGGCATTTCTACAGTCTAACACCTTCCTTCTCACATCCTCTGTCGCTGTGCTTCCCTCTGTTACGATATTCCCGCAGTTCCTTTATCCGTGAGGGAGCAGTTGGGAAAAGAATTCCGGCCTGTGAGTCAGAAGCCCTGGGTTCTAGGCTAGGTTCTGTCGTCTGTAAAATCTAACCCTCCAACTTTCTTTGATGAGAACGAAGGAGGCGAGAGGGCCAGAACTTTCGGGTGCCGTCACGCCGACCCTGTCTGGCCTGTGGCTCTGTTCTGTCTAGAACCCCTCGCAAGACCAGCGGCTAAGAACTCAATCAGATGTCGGCAGTGAAGGCGCCTCAACGGATGAACCCACGTGGCGAGGCGGCGCCTGGCGTTCAGTCCCACCTTCCACAGCTGGAAAGTTCCCTGGCCCGAGCGGTGCCGTCAGACCCGGGGGGGGGGGGGGGGGG